GGAAGTGGAAAGAAACATGCTTGCCATTTGCAGCGCCATGGATGGACATAGAAATTATCATACTTAGTGAAGTGAGTCAGACAGGGAGAGACAAATATCATATGATATCACTTATATGTGAAATTCTAGAAAATGATGTAAATGAACTTCTTAACAAAACAGAAACAGACTCACAGACATAGAAAAAAAATTAATGGTTATCCCAACAGATCACAGAAGAAAACAAAAAGGAAATCAAAATATGCATAGAAACAAATGAAAATGAAAACACAACCCAAAACCTATGGGATTCAATTCAGTAAAAGCAGTGGTAAGAGGAAGGATCAGAGCAATACAAGCTTACCTCAAGAAACAAGAAAAACATCAAATAAATAACCTAACTTTACACCTAAAGCAACTAGAAAAAGAAGAAATCAAGAATCCCAAACTTAGTAGAAGGAAAGAAATCAAAAAAATCAGAGCAGAAATAAATGAAAAAGAAACAAAGGAGACTATAGCAAAATCAACAAAACTAAAAGCTGGTTCTTTGAGAAGATTATAAAATAGGCAAACCATTAGCCAGATTCATCAAGAAAAAAAGAGAGAAGAATCAAGTCAATAAAATTAGAAATTAAAGTGGAGAAATCATGACAACACAGAAATACAAAGGATCATAAGAGACTACTATCAGCACCTATATGCCAATAAACTGGACAACTTGGAAGAAATGAACGAATTCTTAGAGAGGTATACTGAACCAGGAAAAAATAGAAAATCTTAGACCCATCACAAGCATGGAAATCGAAACTGTAATAAAAAATCTTCCAACAAACAAAAGTCCAGGACCAGATGGCTTCACAGGTGAATTCTACCAAGAATTTAGAGAAGAGCTAACACCTATCCTACTCAAACTCTTCCAGAAAAATGCAAAGGAAGAGAAACTCCCAAACTCATTCTATGAGGCCACCATCACCCTAATACCAAAACCAGACAAACATGCCACAAAAAAAGAAAACTGCAGGCCAATTACCACTGATGAACATAGATGCAAAAATCCTCAACAAAATTCTAGCAAACAGAATCCAACAACATATTAAAAAGATCATACATCATGACCAAGTGGGCTTTATCCCAGGGATGCAATGAGAACAGACTTTTGGACTCTGTGGGAGAAGCTGAGGGTGGGATGACTTGAGAGAATAGCATTGAAACATGTATATTACCATATGTGAAACAGATGACCAGTCTAACTTCAAAGCATGAAAGAGGGTACTCAAAGCTGGTGCACTGGGACAACCCAGAGGGATGGGAAGGGGGGGTGGTTTGGGACGGGGGGACACTTGTACACCCACAGCTGATTCAAGTCAATGTATGGCAAAAGCCACTACAATATTGTAAAGTAATCAGCCTCCAATTAAAATAAATACATTTTAAAAAATAAATAAAAACAATATATTTTTAAAAAGAAAACAAATTAATGGTTGTAAACGGGATAAGTGGCAGGGGGCAGGGGGAGTGATAAACTAGGAGTTTGGGATTAACATATACACACTACTGCACACAAAACCCTAATAGATAACCAACAAGTTTCTACTATATAGCACAAGGAATTATATTCAATGAATTGCAATAACCCATAATGGAAAAGAACCTGAAAGAGTGTGTCTGTGTGTGCATGTGCACACACAAATATACGCACAACTGAACACCTGGCTGGGCACCTGAAACACTGCAAATCAAGTATATTTCAATTTAAAAAAACATGCTTTCACACAAAGATAAAACTGAGATTTTATAGCAAAGCATTCTTCCAAACCTCCTTTCATTATTGACTTAAGATATTTTTTGGACTTCCTTTCACATGTGTCTCTATAGCATGCAAAAAGAAACTAAAATTTCCTGTTAAATCATGTAAGAGTAAAGGAAATGGTAGAAAATGAAGTCCTGTAACATAGAAATAAATTCTATTCTTCGACTGATAGAGTTTCAGTGACTGTTCTAAACTTCCAAAGTTGTGCCACCCTGCTCTGCAAGAACTGGCCTGACTACACGGGGAACAACACCGGAATTGCAACTCAGATGGAAGATAGAGCATGGCATCTCACTTGTGGCTGGGAGCTCTTCATCTCTCAATTTGTAAGTGGTATGAACAGCATACCCTCCATGCCCCATGTTTTCCTCCGCTGTATTTGTTGAATATCAACGCTTATGGAGGAAGAGAAGGAGACAAAAAGGAAGTGAAAAAAAAGTGGGGGGAGGAGAAAGAGGAAAGGGAAGAGAAGAAGCAGGAAGCTGAGGAGGATGGAGGGAGACTGCCTTAAAACATAAAATACAGAAATATACTTGACAGCAAAGACAAGGCAAAAAAAAAATTCCTTCGTAAAAACAAATCATCATATTTCTTTGCTTTTCCTTTAGATTATCTTTTGATGGTTAGTACATTTCCCAGTTGACTGGGTCAAAATGAAAATGCTTTTAATATTGTTTCATTACAATCTGAGATCTATTATTAAAGACTCAGAAGTTACAGGAAAGCAAGAACAATAGAACCATTCTACCAACCAGCAATAACCTGTGTTAATACTTTATTTATATCCTGCTGGACACTGCTATGTGCATCTTTTCAAAACAAAATTTAGGTTCTCTTTTGTGTTTTTTATTTTTGACAGTTCATAGGATAGCCTGGGCTTCACTGTGGCTCAGATGGTAAAGAATCGCCTACAATGTAAGAGACCTAGGTTTGATCCCTGAATCAGGAAGATCCCCTGGATAAGGGAATGGCAACTCACTCCAGTATTCTTGCCTGGAGAATTCCAGGGACAGAGGAGCCTGGTGAGCTACAGTCCATGGGGTCACAAAGAGTCGGACATGACTGAGAGACTAAGCCTTTCACTTTCATGATGGCCTCTTCCTTTTCTTCCTGAACAATTCTGTACTAGGGCTTCCCTTGTGGCTCCGCTGGTAAAGAATCTGCCTGCAATATGGGAGACCTGGGTTCGATCCCTGGGTTGGGAAGATCCCATGGAGAAGGGAAAGGCCATCCACTCCAGTATTCGGGCCTGGAGAAATTCACAGACTGTATAGTCCACGGGGCTGCAACGAGTCAGACACAACTGAGCTACTTTCACACACATTCTATCTTAAAACCTGGAGGTGGAGCAGAGCAAAGTCAAGTGCCAACGCTGGGCAAGGAGTGCATTAGGGCTGAGGTGGTCCAGAGTGTTCGAACCCAGAAAGGAGTGGAAGGCATGTGCCTAGGAGGCGCCCTGGAATGGAGAATCAGACTTAGGAAAGGAAGCTGGCCACACTGGTGGACAGCCTGGCACGGTGACAAAGGTGATAAGTGTATCCATGCTAACAAGCGACCCAGCACAGAGTCAGAGGCCATCGGCAAGAAAGCAATAGCCTGATGGGGGCTGTGGCAACCAGTGGGATGTGAGGAGGAAGCTTCCACGAGAAGGAGGCAGACGCCAAGCTGTCAGAGGACACAGCCTTGTGGGGTGTGGCCCCGCATGGGGTGCCCAGGCCCAAGTGGAGCGGGAAGAGAGTGTATGCAAAGAAGGAGTCCCATTTGAAAGCAATAAAATTATAAACTGCGGAGAACTGGCATCCTTATAAGTTGAATTTTATAATCCAAAAATAGTATTTATTTATTAAATCTTATAAATTTAACATAATTTAAATAAATCCATTGATTAAATTTAAATAAAATCCATTTGCTAAATTAAAAATTAAGTTAAAATCATTTATTAAAAATTCAAACAAATCATTTATTAAAATCCTTTATATCCTTCAAAATAACAATATAATTTTATTCTCTCATGTTTCTTATTTTGCCTAAAATATTATTTTTATTGTTGTGACATATTTTTTCAAATGTATTCTCTCTTTGGGATATACAGAAGAACTACCAAGTTTAATACTTATTAATAATTTACAATCACCTAGATGAACTCTATTCATCTCTTATCTCTAATAATTTTCAATTGATCCTCAGGTTATAATTGGGCCACCATTACATTTTGTCAATATTAAATTACTTAAACCAAATTGCACACAGGGAGAAGAAACTAAAATATTTCAAGTGGTCATTAATTAGTTAAACCATTTATTCATTTATCAAATATTTACTGAGCACATACTGTAACCCTGGCCAAGTTAACTGATCTAGATAATTCTGTTTCCCCAGCTGTAAAATGTAAATAAGCAATGAGCCTACCTAAGGATTAAATGAGATAATATGTGTAAATTGCTTAGCATGGCAAATGTGTATGCTGACAAATGTCAGCAGTGATGATGACCACAATAATGAAATACACTATAAGCTGCCCTTTCCAATGCCTGCAATGCCTCAGAACCATCATTAGCTGAGAAGAATGATTCAGCTCCTGTTTGTTTTCTGAAGTCCAGTCCAGTCTATATTTCTTTTCCCTCCTCCTTTCTGCCATCTAGAACAGTCCAAATTTACTTAAAAAAAAAAAAAGGGGAGAATTCTGAAAAATACTTTCTAGAATGCACTAACCTTCCCTTAAATGTTATTCTCTGGCATTCCATTTTATCTGTAATTTCTGAAGCCTCCTATGGATAATAGAGGCTCAAATAAATATGGAATAGATTTCATACAAAATTTAGAAAACTAAAAATCCCTCAAGAAGTCCTCCTGCCACATGCAGATATTAATATATTAGGCTACTTAACAGACAATTCCATAATAAAATCTCAGATAACAAAAACAAATTCATTTGTGTAATATTCTACTGAGTTATATTAAAGCACTGCATAAAATATTACCTTAAGGTTAGAAATATAATTTTAAAATAAGTTTTTTAAAAATATTTAAAATGAAGAAATTTAATTATTATACTCTCCTCCCTAAAAGGATGCAATGTTCAGAATCGTTTGCTCATCTCTGCTCTTCACCTTTATAGAAGTCACACAAGCTGCTTTATACTGCCTATTAGACAAAAGCCTGATTTCTTTTACATAATGTGAAGTAAGTAAAATCTGACACTCCAACTTACCCACTTCAGCCAAAGTTCTGATACAGGACTCCACTGAGGCTTTCTGGGCCGGATTTGGCCAGGTGCAATTATAAATTCTGAAGGCAGACTGGAGTAGCTGAATAAAAACTGGCTGATGTGTCTGAAAACAGAAAGAGATAAACAGGTCATCAAACCATTAACCCTCCTGATAATCTATTCATTATCAAAACAGGCCCATCAGAATAAAATACAGTCTTGTCTTTTAAATTTCAGTGCTATTTAATGAACATCTCATTCAACAGATATTTATTATGTGCTCATCTCATGACAAGAACCACATTAGACACTGTAGAAAGTTCATTCTTTTACCTATATTCTTAATCTGGAAAATATGACATTTCTTGAAGCCAATGACATAAATTTACATATACTTTTATAATTCCTGGTTTATTTCTAAGTATAAACAGAACATGGATTAGAAAATGGCAACCCACACCAGTATTCTTGCCTGGAAAATTACATGGACAGAGTAGCCTACTGGGCACAGTTCGTGGGCTCACAGAGAGTCAGACACGACCGAGTAACTAAGCACACATAAACAGAACAGGGGCTTTGGGTTTATTTGTTTGTTTCATTGATTGTAGGTTTAGGTTTCATATGATGAGCAAGTAGAGGAGACAGCAATTTTGACCTACAAAAACAACTTTACATGATTTTAACAGTCCAAAAGTTTTCTCTAAAAAGGTATAACTGAAATAGTATTTTTATAAGAGCAATATACAATCACTGTAGAATATTTGGCAACCAAACAAATGAAAATCACCAATAATCCTAACAAGTAAAGATAATTGGTATCAATGTTTTTAAGGGAATTACTTACCGAGTTTTTCTATGTATACATGCACATATATTCTTTATACGCACAAACCTGGAGGGCACTATAATGCAATTCTGTGGCCTATTTCACTTTATATTGCTTTGTGATGATTTCCCTTAGTCATCAAATTTTCTTTTAAACCATGACTTTTAGTTGTGATATAATAAGCCATCTATAGATACACCACAATTTATTTAGCTAATCTCCTGCTTGAGGACATTTGAGGTTGACATCAAATTTTAAGTATTTGTAAATGAAAGTGAAAGTGTTAGTCACTCAGTCGTGCCTGACTCTTTGCGACCCCATGGACTGTACGCCGCCAGGCTCCTCCATCCATGAAATTCTCCAGATAAGAATAATGGAGTGGGTTGCTATTTCCTTTTCCAGGGAATTTTCCCAAACCATAGACGGAACCCAGGTCTCCCACACTGCAGGTATTTTCTTTTCCATCTGAGCCACCAAAGTAGTTAATTTCCTGCTGTGGACATTTAAAGTTGACATCAATTTTTAAGTATTATAAATACTTCAGTGAAAATCTTAGAATATAAATCCATGCTGATTCTTTCAGGATTTACTAAGTGGAATTATTGAGTCAAAATGTCTATCCATTTAAGGAATCATACCAGTTTGACACATGGGAAACAGTCAATCTACAGTTGTGAAAGTTCCTATTTTGCTTACAGAGAGCAAAAAGAATGCAGCTTGAAGTTTCATTTATTGAAAATAAAGATTGGGAAACTCAGAAAAGGGCATAACAGTGAATACTATGAAAGAAGACTGATCTTCAGAAGGGTCGAAAAGGACTTTCTGGCCATATTAAATTTTTTTCCATTCAAATAAGGTACAGAAATTCTGTGTGACAGGATGCTTTCTACTTTTTGGTAATGTTACCTGGAGGCTGGTACTGTTGTCTGAAAAGGGTGAATTAAAGAAGCCGCTCACAATGTTCATTATTGACTCGGTAACACACTTCTCCAAAAAGGTGTCTGCATGCTTCCTGTCTGTGGTTGTGTTGCAAACCTGGAAGGAGAAGCCAAACAACTCAGTGTGTTCCATCACATCTTTAATTTACAACTCAATATTGGAACCTTCAAAAAATTGTCCTGAAATGGTCCATTTCTTCTGCTTTTGAAAGTTGCTTTGAATAAAAATATTCCTGCTTAAAATCCATTCCAAGTTTATCATTCAGTAGTAGCTTTGCCTTTAAGTTTGGCCCAGATTTCTTTCACAGACCACTGCCCCTTCTTCCTGATCTGCTTGTCTTTCCTCCTACACACAGCCTTCTCTCTCCATCCTCAAGCCTGGCTTTGCTGGAAAATACTTTTCCACTTGATGTGAGGAAAATAAAAAGGAAACAGCCATTGTAAGTACAAGAAAGTGGTGAAGGTGATTACTGATGGCTCACATCTCTATACATTTTCACCTCTAATAACTGGCCCATATGGGAGGATGCGAACACAGAAAATACCTGGAGAGGAAAACAGAAACATAAGCAAAGGGCAAACCCTTGCCAGCAATTTTGACTTGTTCGTCCACAGATTATCTGGTAAGCTCAGAGGATCTGTGCTCGCGCCTTCCTCTCTGAGTTGGCTAAAGGAGAAGAGACGACTCTAGAGCAAAGGGAACATCAACAAAGACCGCAGGCTCTGACCTTCAAGTGGGAGTAAATGAGGCCAAAGTTGGTTATCCTGCTAAACAAACTGTAAATTTCCAAGCATGTCAGGGTAGACAAATTGCAAAAGCTAAGATACACAATTGAAACCAAATGAAAGAGTTGGGTAGTAGGAAAAAAAAAAAATGGAGTTAAAAAAATTAAAAGAAGTGAGCAAGGGAACAAAGGATGTGAGAAAAGACTCAAGGACTGGGCAGAGAGAGAGAGAACATTTAAATATTCACAAGATTACAATGGATCAGTATAGTGGCCAGATGTTCCAGATGCTCTTAGACAATTCCGAATTTTTACATAATTTATTCTTTTCAATAAGGTGATTAATCAAAAGAGTAAGAAAATGTAATTTAATCAGATGTTCCTTTAAAATCCTGCACACAAGTAAAATCACCAAAGAGAAAAACTCCCTTCTCAAACTGTGTGTCCCAGTGTTTTGTTTTGGAAAATAAGTGTCCACTGAATGGAGAGAGAAGAAAGGGTAGAGGGTTTGTTTTGCTAAGTCACTTTCCCTCCAGTCGGGGCATCTCACCTTTTCCCCATCTATTAAATGACGCCTGCCTGACAGGGGTGTTATCAGAACTAAAAGGTCAGTGTGTTCCCAGGTAGCTTAGTGATAAAGAAATTGCCTGCCAATGCAGGAGACACAAGAGACACAGGTTTGATCCCTAGGTTGGGAAGATCCCCTGGAGGAGGAAATGGCAACCTACTCCACTATTCTTGCCTGAAGAATCCCATGGACAGAGGAGCCTGGTTGGCCACAGTCCATGGGGTCACAGGGTCAAACACAATTGAGCACACACACACAATCTCATAGCTATGTAGGGAATGATGCAATTAATGGCAATAAATTATGCTGTTATGTCATCTTTGAGTTATTGTTTTAGCACATAATGCAATGCCTGATAAATACAAGATGATCAATAAATGTTTATGAAATGAATGACCAATTAATTTTTTAATGAAAGAATAGCAGAGAATAAGAAAGGATTCATTTTATCTTAGGTTAACTAAGGGTTAGATTCTATTTGTGGAACATCTAACCTTGGATTAAAATTTAATGTGATCACTGAACTAGTATAAAATTGATTTCCCCATGATGGATATAAAGTAGGATTTATTTCATTTAGTATCTTTACAGCACTGTCTCTTAGTGATTTTTTTCTGATACACAGGATAAAAATACACTAAATTTGGGCAGGTGGCTAAAAATCCCACCATAACCAGCCCAAGGTTGCTTCTTCCTCGTCAAGGAAGAACAGCTGACATTTCACCAATTGAATGGGGGTATCTGGAGCTACCATAGAATCACACTGCATGATCTGCAACCGAACATTTGCTAAAGAATCCCCCAGATTTGTTTTAGTCTGTGGACAAATTAAAGGATTCTACTTCTAGATGAAGGCTTTCCTCAAAATCCTGGCTGTGGAAATTCTAGGTTTACACAACTGTGTGGAACCTATTTCTCAATTTATTTGGACAAGAAATTCACACAAATGTCCAAGATACTTTTTCTGCCACAGATGAATAACTTTTCACCTCTAGAGCCTGCATCTTACACTGTGACATTAAGGGCAGGGAGTCTCTTTCCCATAAAGATTAGAAACAGCTCAAATAAAATCACATCACATTAAATTAATTTCATGTATAATACATGAGTTTTTAAAGTTTCTGTTTGCAGACATTATTCATATACTATTATTTCCTATCAAATATTCCTATGTACGATCAATATCTAAACACTTAATTCAAAAGGCTATTCCATAGATTCCACTCTAATGCACCATTATGCTTTAATCTGTTTTTGGAGTGAGGTGAAGTGTGTTAATTGCTCAGTTGTGTCTGACCCCAAAACACTAGCAGGACCCTGCTAGGCTCCTCTGTCCATAGAATTCTCCAGGCAAGAATACTAGAGTGTGTAGAAATTCCCTTCTCCAAGGGATCTTCCCAACCCAAGGATCAAACTCAGGCATCTTGCATTGCAGGCATATTCTTTATTGTCTGAGCGACCAGGGAAGCCCAATCACAGTTTAAATCTCTCCCCAAATCTCTGGTATGTATCATTATTTTTTTAATATTTTAATTTAATTCTATAAGAAAGATTCTCAATTTGTAATGTGCTTTACACTGGAAAAAAAAGTCTACCTTTGTTATCGTTTCCAAGAAAAAAATCCATCTTTTGAAATATCTGTCCTCTTCTACTTTCAGATGGATTTTACCTCTTATCAGTCAAATTTCATGGACTATCACTTAGGGACATTAACTATTAAATTAAAACTATTAGACTAGGAGTTAGAACAGTGAACCAAAAAGAAAAGAAAAGAAAAGAAAAGTCTATACTCTATTAGAACTCTAATTCTAATCAAGAGATACACCATAAATAAGTTAACAAACATATAAGTGGTAAAAATAGAGAAAATAAATAGGCTCCTGAGAAAAATAAAGAGCAAGTAGTACAGGCAATGCAGCGGGAGTAGTAGGTAGAGGGAAGGTTACTATTTTATCTATTAATAAATTGCTTGGAGAACGTCTCTGAATAAGGCCACATTTTAACAAAGAACTGAGGAAATAGCCATGGAAGTTTCTGGGGGAAGAGCAAGTAAAAATCTGTCTCCACAGACAGACACACAGTAGGCATTTAAAACTGTTGGCTGAACAAATTAATATTAAGTGTAATTTCTAGATATAATTATTTCTGAAACTTCTCCTCTTTTATATATGATGTCCCTTCTCTCTTGTGCTCTAAAAGTGATTGCTATCTTTCAAAGATGACAAAGTGAGCTAAATAAGTTATCATATATATGCTGCAGCAGCCCTGTCCCTAGGACCGTCTGCAATGATAGAAAACTATATCTGGCACGTTCAAGAGAGTAACCACTAGGCATGTGCTTACTGAGCACTTGAAATGGATTTTTTATTCTATTTTTAAAATTTTTTTTGAATTTGTTACAATATTGCTTCTGTTTTATGTTTTTTGGCTTTTGGGCCACAAGGCATGTGGGATCTTAACTCCCTAACCAGGGATCAAACCTGTACCCCCTGTATTGGAAGGCTCAGTTCTGACCACTAGACTGCCAGAAAAATCTCTTTTATTCTATTTTATCTAGCTAAAATTAAAATTTAAATGTGGCAAATTATTAACCTATCAGATAGGGCAGCTCATACCAGTAACATACCTTTGATCATACAGACCAAGGAATACAAATCTTAAAGTCATTTTTCATTTCTCCATAGGCAATAAAAATGTTTTTGTAAATATCTAAGGTAATATCTCATATTTATTTTAATTTGCATTTTTTAATTTATGAGGCCAAAACTTTTTCAAACATTTGCTTTATATACTTCCTTTTTATGTGAGTCATCTATGCCTACACTCAATTGGCTTTCTTAGAATTTTAAATTCATTTTTAAAAAAGACAACATATATTGATGTTAAGATAGCAAATGTAGGAACCCTGTAACAAAATAGAAAAACACAAAATGGAAAACAAAAATTATCCACAATTCTAAAATCCGGACAAAACCATGGTTAACATCTTGGAAACTTTTCTTCTAATCTTCTTGCTCTGCCCTATATATTTTACATAATTGAAATAATCCTGGATAATCAGCTTTTTATTCTCCTTCTTATACTCTTTACTCAATCATTAGCACTCTCATATCATTAAAAATCTTCAAAAAATAGTCACAGTGACACTATATCTTCAATCTTGCAGATATATCATAATTTGTTGAACCATTTCTCTATTAATTGAATATGTAAATTATTTCCTACTGTATTTTATTATAAAAGTATGTTGAACTTTCTTGACCATAAGTCCTTGCTATCATTGTTAATTATTTCCTGAGGACAGATTCTTAGAAGGTAAATTACTTGACACATTAAAAAGATATGAAGGGTTTTTTTTAATGTACTACAAAAATGTTCTTCCAAAAGATGGCATAAATCTACTCTCATCAGCAAGAAATGTGAACCAATATTTAGTATTATAATTTTATCTTTTTATTTTTATACTTTGATAGTTATAAATTAGATCTTATTTTCCTTTGTATTTTTTTAAAGTTATTAACAGTTGACTATCTTTTCAGGGATTTACTTGTATGTAACCCAGGAAATGCCTGGATTTGGCCCATTTTATCATTAGATTGTTTGTATTTGTCTTATCAATACATATATATGTTTTCTGTGTAAAGGTTATGAGCCGTTTTTTAATGTAGGGTAACTTTTTCTATTTTTATGTTCTTTTATTTTTATGATGTTGAGATACATATATATGTGTATATATATGTATATACATATGTTTTACATTTTCAAATAGGGAAATGCTTTTTTCATAGCTAATTTCGTCTACTG